TTTCACAGTCAATTTAAATTTTTATAATATTTTGGTCTGACAGTGCACCACAGTTTTTTACTTTAAAAATAGCATTGCAAGTGATGTTTTCTAAAATGATCTGGAGCATTTGTGTGTAAAATTTCATTAATACATCATAAATGGTAAAATTAAGATGTTATTTGCACTAAACACTTATCCTTAGATATTGTCAAAACTAGCATCAGGCTATGATGTGAAGCACTAAATAATCATGCTGTACTCTGTTACGAGAAGTTATGAGGAGTTTGACTCTTTTCAAAATAATGAAATGACTGTGCAACACAAACACATCCTTTGGACACTGGTGTATATCTCTCAAAAGAGATTCAAGGACAGCTGAATTGATTTATCCAATGAGAGACATTTTGTAGACCAACAAAAACAATGACAAATTTTATGAAGCAAGAAGTTAGATTTAGATTTATGATCAGGTTGCAACCATGTCTATCATACATGCCAACTTTCCCGATTTAGGCGGGATTCTCCCGATTTTGCCATGCCATCCCGCTATCCCGATCGTGAAAGCAAAATTACCCCTAAATCCCGATTTGACCATTTTTCGACCAAAATTTCCGATTTTCCGACTTGACCCGAGTTTGAAATCGGGACAATCGTGAAATCTCGTTAAACTCTCGTAGTATTAACCAATGAAATTTCCCGAACTTCGTCACGCTTAGGTCGCGTGTAATTTACCTATCGAGGATACCTACCTGTGTGTACTGTGACGATTACTCAGTCAATTATGAGCATGTATCATGTTTTGATAACAATTAATGCTATTCTGGGGTATGGTGGAGATCAATCGGGAATCTCGGATATCGATTCACCATGGGTGCAACTCCACCACGAAAAAAGAGTAGATTAGGATCGAAATACCTGAAAAAATGGGAGGCTGACGCAAGATTCACCGGATGGTTGGCGAAGTCAAAACAAGGACAGGCTCATGCATACTGCAGAGTGTGCAACAGAGACTTCAAGATTGACCATGGTGGACTGAATGACGTGACAAAGCATATGAACACTGCCCTTGAATTATAATAGTAGCTATTTTAATAACCAGATTTTAACAATGCAATATTGTTTTCTTTATGCATCATGTGCCACTGTATTTTTCTTAAATTTGTTATCAAATTGTTGAAACTGTACAAGGTACTAGTAATAACTACATGTACATGATGTCTTTTAGTTTGTAACATTTTATTTGCTTGAATTATAATAGTAGCTATTTTAGTAACCAGATTTTAACAATGCAATATTGTTTTCATGTTTCATGTGCCATTGTATCTTTTTTAAATTTGTTATTAAATTGTTGAAACTATACATTGTTTTGGTTGCTGAATCAGATTCAGACTTATGTTGGTAGATGCATTGAATGATATGAAAGAAATCAGAAGAAAAATGTTCAAATGATCTTTGAGGAACATGTATTATGTATTATAAATAATGATACAGATATCAGTGAAAACACAATTAGATTCAGGTTCACGACTAAATGTCGCGAATTTAAAGCTTTGAAAATTGTCGTCACACGCAAAATCCCCCATGGGAATTTTCAAAAGTTGGCATGTATGTGTCTATTAAAAAATTCATTCTGCAATTATTTGGTAATTCTGAGATGGTTAACTTGGTAATTTAGAAAATCGAATATTTATTGAAGTTTGGTTCAAAATTTTTTCTTAAGACTGACCATTCTTGAACATTTCAAGAATTTTGTACAGCTTCAAGTGATTTACCTCTTTGAGAAAACTTTTCTGAACTTCTTCATCAAATCTGTACATTTCCTTCAGCACCATTACCTCCCCTGTTATTCGATGTGTCACTTTAACAGCCTGTCCAAAGAAACCTACAGAAACGGTCCAAAGGCAAATACAGTACTGTTAACATTACATCCTCTACAGAACTGCCTAGAATTTGACATTAGAGAAGTTCAGATCACAAAACAGATGATCGAACATATATACAAAATATATCTTTAATAATAGCAAAACAAATCATATTTTAATACTTTCAAAACCACAGCCTTCAATTACTCTACAAGTCAAACCAAACCCAAATCAATTTCATTGAATCTGTACACAAACAACAATACAGAATTTCCACTGATACCTTTTCCGAGCACCTCCCCCTGTATGAGATCAGTGGCCCTGAAAACTCGGTGTGAGGTGGGCTGAGTCTTGAAGGAGGAAGCTCGAGTGAGATCAACACTTTTTGTTCGGGAAGGCATCGGCGATGGTGATTTACTCCTTCTTCTGGATGTGTTCTTACTGAAAACAAAAAATATTAACACTCTAAGACTTATTCACCAACTCATAAAAATACATATCTGCCACAGGCAGATCCCTTTGTGTTTGTGTTAAAAAGAGCACAAAATATATTTTTTGTTAGGATCAAATATATATCAATTTATATTGATTATATGACCAAAATGATCAAATAAAGTTTTTGTGGCTAAAATGAGGCGGTATTTTTGGTTTATACAATAGATTTTTGGTTTATACAATAGTCCTTATTGATAACACATCTAAAATTTGTAAATAAAAATTTTGTGGCCCATTTGATGCTTTGCGCAAAATGCATCAATGTTAGTTTGTCACTTTTAGTAGTACCTATCTCTACTAATAAAAAAAAACCATGATAAATAATGTAAAACATAAGTCATAAAAATAAATGTAAGTCTGACATGAGTGCTTAAGGTTTGTTATCGGTTTATACTTCATTTGATCTTTCTTGGGTCTTCTTTTCACTCCATTGATGATCCTCTCTCTGGGCAGACTTTCATCATCAGAGAATGGTGAGCCATTTGGACTCAGATAGGAACTGTTACGGGAATCTGTTTGACTTTTAGATGGGGAGAAACAGGAAGGTGTTCCTCTTTCTAACATCAGTTGTACAGGTTCTTTGGTGTTTTGTAAAATCTGATCAATCTGTGGAAAATAAATTGATTTCAACTAAAATTACTCAGTCTTCTTATTGCAGTTATTCATTTCTTTAAACATCATTTAAATCCCTTCCTAATGGGACTGATACCCAAATAGAGCCTGGATACTTAGATGCATCATCCATGCAAGTTTGGTCAACATAGGAGTTAGTTACTTAGAAATGAGACCTTTACCAAAAAACTTTATTAAGTGAAACACACTAGAAGCATCTTTCATGCATGCATGATCAATGTGAGGTAAAAGAAGTATGATACATGTACTTTAAAAAACGGCACCAAAAACCTTAACTTGGAATGCCAACACTGACGCTGAGGGTATCACATAAGCTCCCCCCCAACTTTGTTGAGGTGAGCTAAAAAAATAGCATGACAGATAAACTGGGTGGGTATAAAGTTGTACACATTTCATATTTCAGTAACATCACAACTGAACAATGCTCCTGAAGTGTTTAGCTATCACAGCTAATTCTTACCTCCTCAAGAGAGCTTTCTTTTACTGGCATCCCATTAACTTCCAGGATCTTGTCTCCAACACTGACAGCATCTAATTCTGGGCTCAAATTGTCATCTAGTCTAAAAATAGAAAGAGAGTCACCATTTTCTTCTGAACAAGAGCAATTGTTCATTGAAACCAAAGAAAAAGTCAACCTCTTTATTGTGATCACCAAACTCAAGTTCATGATTTCAACAAAACAAAGAGTCTTTATTGTGTAAGTTTTACAAACTGTGATCATTTTTTTGGTTGGGAAAGTTAATTGAGTTCTATGTGAAATCTTTCCCCTAATCATGATTAATCCCAAATAACCCATGGTTAGAACGCGTGTATGTATGACATGGATATGCTTACCCATTGAACTTATTATAGATAATTTTTAGAAGAAAATTGCATAGACTTTTAATATCCTTAAGAGCAGTACAAAAGCTGTCTGCATTCTATATCTGGAGAATATTTAGGAGTTGGGGATTTAATATTTTGCTCATTTATTACTTGAAGCAATGACCTTTGTAAATTATCATGGTTAAGATTTGCAAATTATCTTTGACCTTTACAATGTCCTACTTTTCACAAAACATACACCATAGTGCCATTTGAACTTTCATGTTTCACCGAAATAACAGCCCTTTGATTAATTACCTCCCATAGTTTTTAAAGGAATTTATTATACCTCTGACAACTGATTTCTTCCTATATAAAAGTAAGGCAGTAAAATGTGAATAATTGCCTAGAAATCTCAGTGAATAGACTAATTACCCGTGCGTTAGTTAAATGAGCTAATCCTTGCTTCGGAAGCTAATTCCCCCGTTATCAATCCTCTAGATTTTACTTTTTATCGGTCTAATATGTTAATGGACTTATTCCCTGTGCATTAGTTTTGAAGCTAATTCCCCGCCATTCGTAATCCTCTATTTGTATCGGTATAATAAAACAGTTAAAAAGTATATCATTGAGGGAGTCAGCAAGATTCCAGTTCCCCTTGACCAAGACTATTTTCCTCGGTGTGCTGCACCTCAGGAAATTCCTGGACCTGGTCTTGCGGAACTGGAATCTTGCTAACTCCCTCAATGATATACTTTAACTGTATATTATACTACACATGCCTGTAAAGCAGTGAAGAACTTGGCATTGTTTGTGCAATCAAAATCCTCTCTAGATGCTGTATATGACCCAGAGCTTAGAAGGAAATAAGTATAAGTATTTATATATATATATATTCAAATTGAACAACAATTTTTTTTATCAATTTCCTTATTGTAAGTCAAATAATATACGTTTTTATACTCATTACTATTGTACATCTACATCTTTTAATGATATATGTAGACTGACTATCAGCAGTCCAGGGTCTGTGGTCTCAGATGCTGCTTCTGAAGCTTAACTGCGTACCTTAGACTCTGTCCAGCAGGTGTTAGTGGGACCTTAATTAGCTCAGTGGAATGTACCCCCTTATTTTGACTGGAAGACCCGAGCAGGACAGGTTTCATTCGTACTTTGTAACACACTCCACTACAAAATAAATATATTAAAAATAAGAATTGACATACATGTATTTAAATGATTTTTTACCATAAATATTCATGTGAAAATTCATAAAACATAATTTTGGACAACAAACAGTGAAAAATCTATAATGCCCCCCCCCCCTCCCAAACAAAAATTCCTTTCAACAGATATTATGAATTGTTATTTCACAAATTCATACCAAAATTTTTATTATTTCACTCAATTGCCACTGAACTTAAACTTGCCTTAATGACCTTGGATTAAGGCCTAAGGTAAACTTGTAAGTATGAACTATTATTGTAATTCAGTATTAGCTGGCACTTTTGTTTTCCCCATTCCAATGTTATGGTCAAGATATGTTTACAAAGAAAGACAACACAGAGAGACAAAGTGACAGCTTAATATTAAATTATTGAAGCTTTTTAGGGCCTATATAATTCTACAACTTTACATTAAGAGATTTAGAAAAATAATTTAAAAATTCGCATAAAGAATTTTGTGGATATATAGTTACCTCCTTTAGCCAATACTGTTCAGTTGCTTATTAATCATACACCCCTATTTTCACTATCAATATACAATAGTGATCTGCACTATCAGATAGCAAACAAATAATAGCAATAAACATATAGGTAGCAGAAATAAATTACCATGTTTACAAGTAGTATGATCCAATCCTACATTGTATAAAGTGTGTCAATTGTATACATTGACAACAAAACAGACAATACCCAACAACATCAATTTCATAAGCACTGTGTCAGTTTCCTGATCTGTACTCAAGTAATACACAATGTACTAATCTCCTAATATCAACATCTCTGTACTATATACATATAGTAGGTCAGGGAAATCATTTTATCTGAAGTGTATAACTATTCCTATAGATGTGTTTCAATTCATACATGGAAAAAAAAGATTATTTGAATATTCTATGCTTTAAGTAAACCTGTTGAATGAAAAAGCCCAATTCTTTTTTTCATTTAAAAAAAATATATGGTAAAATGTTTAAGATAACATGAGTCTCAATGAGACATACATGTATGCATGTAGGAAAAGACTAATAAGTTGTATACTGTTAACGCATTGGAGGGTATCTTACCACCTGAAATTCAATGTAAAAATATTAATGTGAGCGCATTTACAGGTCAACTTATATAAGGGGAAATCTAAATAATTTGTGATTAATTAGTCACAGATAAACGAAAAGAAGTATAGACATTCTTACCAGAGCAGCAGGGAGTGTTCCACCAGTGCATACGTCTGTCCATTCTCTATGATTGTGTCACAGTCGTGACACTGGAAACATTCTGAATGAAACTTATGATCTCCAGCCACCTGAAATTCAATGTAAAAATATTAATGTGAGTGCATTTACAAGTCAACTTATATAAGGGGAAATCTAAAAAAATTGTGATGAATTAGTCACAAGAACTCCCAATAATATACTTCCTTCCTTTTGAAAATTTTCATTCATTCAGATTTTTCACACATTAAGTATATATACAATTGTTTTTAATGGTGAACAAAAATATGTGGTTTTTTTTCTATATATACTGTGTAGCTATTTGAAACAAGGAACCCATCACATGGCTTTAAGTGGAAATTTTAGTTACGTTTAAACCCTGTATGCAGTCAGAATGGCAGAGACATCAGATGCCTTTCAATTGGAAAATCTCACGAGCTTACAGTTCAGGTGAGCTGAAATTCTATGCATTTTGTACATGATAAATACAGACCCACCCTTACACCTGCATCACAGACCCAGTCATCAGCTCAGGTGAGCCAAGAATAGAATGTATTTTTAAAATACAAATAGAGTCTTAGTGCTGCCCTAACACCTGACCCTTAGAAGAAGGTGCTGTGAAATACAAATTACTTTGAAGAGGCACCATTGCTCATCACAACTAGGCTAATTTTATCTGCTTAAAATACCCAGGATAAGAAGATTTTTCAAAAAATTATTAAATTTCCATTATATCAACATATCAATATGATGATCAATGTAGTCCCATTTAAACTCTGGAACCCCTGATTAAGGGGTTCTTTGTCAAGAGGACAATTGACAAAGAAGCTATAATTGCAGTTCCATTTTCAACTTCATATATTAACCATGTATAAGTTATTCTGAAAACGCAGGATTATGATGTATTTCAATATATTGTCACAAATATACATTGCGTATTTTCCTAATGTTTTCAGAGATATAAAAAGTTCCATCTGTTAAACATTTTATATTTCATCAATAATATTCATAACTGTGTCTTACATATTCAGAACACAGTTGTCACACCATTATAACTCCATGCTGCCTTTATTGGCATTTTTTCAAGGGCAGCATTTGAAGGTTAAAACTTCTGTTTAACCTTTATATTTGTATATTATTTTTAAAAGGGGTAATAAACTAAGTCATAAATTAACATATTTACATTTGTATAGATACACTCATTCAGTTGTTGAGCTGTTTTACTCTTTTCAATGTATAGTGGAATAACATGCACTTGTGGACTGTAAAACCACCTAAATACATGTAACTCCATTTTTGTCATGGTTTATGGTATTAATTATGGTACAGTATTGATGTCTGATCGAAGCAGGTTAAAGAATTGGAAAAGGAGAACAGAAATAGTTGCAACATTTTTTTTTTTTCAATTTATCCCATATTAGAATGATATCACAAACATCAATGCACACAAAATATTTCACTTCTTCTTATAATTCAAGACACATGGTATAAAAAAAATTGGCAGTATACAGGCAAATTTTTAATCTGTTTCCTTTAACATAATGTTCTATGAAAAATGATATGTTAATTTCCAGACCTTTCTGAAAGAAACAGAAAATGGTGCGTGGGAGGGGGTTGTTAAAAATCACAATCTACTTTATCTTTGCTTTTGTGAATACTTAGCGGCGAAATTTGGAGCTCACTACCGACAATTTTTCCAAATTCATCCAAATAAATACGCTGGTAGTAAAAATATGTACTAGTATCTTGTACACTGACACTAATGTGCACAGATCGAGAGGATCTAACCATGAATAATAGACCAATCATTGAATGAACAGGATGAAATTCCTGCTGTATCCTTAGTAATCCACAATGCAATTCTCATTCAGCTGATTTGTCATTTAAAGCCAAGCCAGTGCCTCATTGCTTATTTGAAGCATATAAATATACTTCCAATTCCCATGCAAGTATGTTTGTCCAAAAAGAAATGTTATTTCAATCTCTCTTGAATTCATTCAATCTTTAATAAGTATTCTTTATGACATTATTTTCTGCAGTCATGTATTAGAATTTCTATATATAGGTATCATAGGGTGGTGAAAACTGAAATTGCAACAAAACATTTCTGTTTACCATGCCTCCATCTGCTAGACACTTCCTAGCCATATTTCCATGAATAAATTATCTTGCTGTAGTCTCACTAAATCTCATCAGAGCTACATTAACTCCAATCGTAACTACTAGGCCATTTCCGTGAACGATAAATAACTTATTTCTCTTTCGGAAAATGGCTGAGTAGCTACGAATGCATTAAACTCCTCAGATTTTATAATTTGTAGAATACCGACAATAAAAGGTTACAAACACATTAGTAGGGGCGATATATCAGTCTGTAAACCACATCATTCAACCATTGGCAGACAGTTTAAGTCAGTAGTCAGCTGTTAGAAATTGGGTTTTCGTAAATGTAAGCTTACAGTGTAAATCAAACTGTGGCTCAGCAAATGATGATCAGGCAACCATTAGCTGATTTAGAAATGTTTAATATTTTAAAATTATTGTGGTACCTAAGTATTAATTTGACCTTGACCACCAAGTCGCTTGATACTAAATAAGTGATAAGCCAATCATGTTTTTTTTTCAATAAAAGATAAAAGAAGAATTCGCTTGCCTGACCATCATCATAAAATTAACCTAGGCATTGTACTTGAACAAAAATATACAGTCTATAATTTTTACCATGATTGGTCCTGTGATGGTTAGCCCACATCTGTTACACACATTGCCATACAGGGCCCAGTAGTCCTGCTTACAATACAGTTGTCCATTCTTCTCAAAGTACCAGTTGGACAAGCTCTTGTTACACTCGGAACACCTAAAATTACAACAAAAGATCGGTAATCAGACTTATCAGAGATAACCAAAGCTCGATCACATTATATAAATATGATTGCATATAGTTGAGTGCAACATTGAAAATCTTCACTCCCAAGAAAACCACTGTCAACCAAGGTACAACCGAAGTTGACAATATAACATTAAATTACTGTAGAAGTACTTTTTTCCGCGTGGTATTAATTTATGCTATGTTCGCGGTCACAAACTTTATAGTGACAGTCTAAGAAATCCGCATAAATTTAACCCGCGGATTTAACAGAAATTGAGATTCCGCGTAATTATGACCCTGTACAAAAAAGTAAGTCTACAGTATAGATGCAATATTTTTTATATTATACTAAATGTTTTATACAAATACATATTATAGTGAACCTTGCATGCATAAATTGATCTGCACAGTGAACATTTTTTGGAATATCACCTGTTGTCAAGTAATGTAAACTGTTGCTATGCTGGAGGGCTTGGCTTCATTATTCAGCGTGTAATAGTATACAGTTAAAGTATATCATTGAAGGAGTTAGCAAGATTCCAGTTCCCCAAGACCAGGACTATTTTCAGAGGCGCAGAAATAGTCCTGGTCTTGGGGAACTGGAATCTTGCTAACTCCCTCAATGATATACTTTGTAACTGTTTTATTATACTGATACAAATAGAGGATTACGAATGGTGGGGAATTAGCTTCAAAACTAACGCACAGGGAATTAGTCCATAAACATATTAGACAGATACAAAAGTAGAATCTAGAGGATTACAGATAACCGGGGAATTAGCTTCCGAAGCAGGGATTAGCTCACGTGGAATTAGTCCATTCACTGAGATTTCTAGGGAAATTTATTCACATTTTACTGCCTAATACTTTTATAAAGGAAACCAGAAGTCTCTGTCGAGACTGAAGTTCTACTGGTTTTTACTTAAAGCAAAGGAAGAGAAAAGTAGCAGTTAGGAATTGAAACTTTACAACAGCAATAAATAGAATAATGATCCTTGATTAAGTCTCTTTATGTTCTTAGTGTAGTCTACTTGCATGCCACATTATATTATAATCAGACTAAAACTGTATTTGGGGCAGAATTTTGATAGTATTTTACAGAAATTTCTATCTTTAATAACCAAGGCAATAATGTTCATCAAAATCAAAAAATTATAAATAGAATTGTGTATCTTAGTGTAGTCTACTTCTGTGCAAAATTACAAGTATATTGAAATCAGACCAAAACTGCAGGAGAAGTAGTATTTTGAAAGTATTTCAGAGACAGTTTTATGTTTAGTAACCATGGCAACATTGTTCATAAAAATCGAAAATCGATACACCGAATTGTGTATCTTATACCCCATTCATACGACGAAAATTTGCTTATGTGTGCAAATTTACATATAAGTAAATATACACACGTAAGTAAAAGTTAATTTGCTATGCGTTCAGACGAGATTTATGTACTGTAAGTAAATCCTTGTGACATGACCCGGCGAGTTTTCCTTTGAAGTCAAGCATACTGTAACTGCGATACAGAACACTTTTTGTGGGCGTTTATTATGCAAATGAGCAGAAACTGTACTGTATCTGCAAAATATCAACGATACAGTACGGTTTATTTTTAGCGATGACGGAAAGCTGTATCCGTATACAGACATACCAATCGTTCAATTCGCCATAGAGCTGTTCGTATTTACTCAAAAATTGAGGTGAATTAAAAATAAGATTTTACAACGTAAAGGTATTAATGTCGGATTCAAAAATTTTAGAAAGGAGGGAGTGAGGCAGTTCACAAATTATTACTTTGAACCCCCCCCCTAAAAAAAAAAAACAAACAAACAAAAAAAAAAACAACGGAAAATCGTATTCCGTGGGGGTAGATTTATAATCAACCAACACCTATGTGCGTCATTTCGTTACTTGTTGATGAATTAAAAACCGTATGTATACAAGTTTAGAAAAAAAAAATTAAGAAAGCGAAAAAGAAAAAAAACTCAAAGGTGGGATGGGGCACCAGTGAGTGTTGTATCCCCGTTTGGTTACTCTACATTTTAATGAAAACGTGAAGTAAAATACCCCCACCCCCTTTCCTTTCATCTGCTTATTTCAATTTTGTGTATGACGACCGGTGGGGGACATTGTCGGACATTTCTCTCAGAATCTACGATCTCCCGAAGCATTTTTGTTTCAAAAATATTCCCACATGATTCTTATATATCAAAATGTTTTGCATTAAATCGTAGCTTAAAATGAAAAAAAAAATGTCATCAAAAGATCAGCAAGAGCTGCATAGAGAAAAAAAAACCCCTGCGCAATCAAATCTAATTAAAATTTTTGGAAAACAAATTAATTTATGCATCTCTTAAATAATTTTAAAATGATAGATACCTGCACGTCCATCTCGCTCGGCATTTCAGTTGAGAATGCTTAAAATGGGATACTAAATCAACTTTCTGCAAAATCATCTGATTGGTTGGGAGGTATACACCCAAATACGCATGTAAATTAGTGAGGTCCTTAGAAAGGTCATGTCACAAGTCATTTAGAATACTCGTTTCTTACTGTATCAGAGATACAGGGCGGGGCCCGGCTCGAGCTATCGCTCTCGCCTCAAGCCCCGCCCTGTATCTCTGATACAGTAAGAAACTCGTACTCTAAATAATACTTGTATTTTCATAAAAAATAAGGAAATACACAGATTCAAAATTGTGGATTTTTATAGAAAAAGGTTATTTTCTTACTATTTCGGTATAAGACTAACATTTGAATGTTCCTCAAAGAAACTAGGGGGAAATCCTATCCATTTATATTTTGGTACGGATAAAAGCGAACTATTAGGAAAAGATTACACATGAAAAAAGAAAAATTGATTAAAATCATTGTTTAAAGTTGGATAATGCTTTGGTCTCGGTCCTTAGGACTATAGAGCCGTTGGGTTTTAAGAACAAGATGGTTGACTACTGGTTGACGTCTTCAGCACAATAAAGGACGACTGGAAATCTTTTTGGTGTTTGGAAATCTACAGTACATCAAGTTTATGAGTTCATTATGAAGTATCTGCTTGAATATTACATATATTTTCCAGTAGAATGAAATGGGCAATCGATTAAAAAAAATTAAAACAAAACAAATATGTGAATTTGAAATAAATACGAATCACAATGAATCATGGAATTAAAAATGCTTATTTTCAGCAGTGTTGTTGAAATTCCTGTAACATCAATTTATATGTCAGTAGCTTGCCTTGATTTAAAATTAAAGAAGAAACTCAATCTGTAATTGGACCTGCCCGATTGATGCAATGCCTATACCTATCACAGCTCCGGAGCATTCCCATGAAGACTACTCAGTACTGTACTTGAATAGTAAGGGGACTACTGATTGATCCTGCAGGACACATGTTTGTGCCACCACAGCTATATTTTTATAATTTAGAGGTAATCATAGGTTTGCCAGAAAGGGAGCAAGGTGCGCACGTTTTTGCAAATTCAAATTTATTTCCGGGGGGATTGGAGATGTAGTGTGGATCCTTGTTTTCAGAGTTGAAAAAGCCATTTGTTGAAAGATCTTTGCTAGTACAACCCGGCGTATCCTAGCTTTAAAGCACTACCCTTATCAAAACTCTTAATTTTTACTTTCAGCTGTCCTTGAAGTACATGTACACTAAAGATGGCCATAAAAAAATCCAGTTTTTTTCTTTTGCTTTCTAGCTGCCATGTTAACAGACTGATATTATACACTTTACAATGCATAAACAACCGAAACAACACTTAAAATGTAGATTTATGCAATAAACAAAACAAAATACATACATAAGTAAATTTGCTGCGTGTTCATACGACAAAATTTACTCACAAGAACTAATAATTTGCGACAACATGTATGCAAAAGTTAATTTGCACCTAGTCCTGACCAGGTGTAAATTTACTCGACTGTGCAGAATTTACATGTGAGCAGATCTGTTCATACGACAAAAATTGCACATGTGAGTAAATTTACATATGAGTAAAAAGTACTGAGGTATGCAAATCATGTCGTATGAATGGGGTTACTAGTGTAGTCTACTTGTGTGCCAAGTTATACTGAAATCAGACCAAAACTGTAGGAGGTGTAGCATTTTGAAACAATTTCACAGAAATTTCTATTTTTAGTAACCATGGCAACACCCTTCACCGAAATCAAAAATCGATACAAAAAATTATGTATCTCAGTGTAGTCTACTTGTGGCCAAGATATATATTGAAATCAGACCAAAACTGTAGGAGGTGTAGCATTTTGAAACAATTTCACAGAAATTTCTATTTTTAGTAACCACGGCAACACAGTTCATCGAAAACAAAAACCAATAATCAGAATTATGTATCTTAGGGTAGTCTACTTGTGTGCCGAGTTATACTGAAATCATACCAAAACTGTAGGAGGCGTAGCATTTTGAAAGTATTTCACAGAAATTTCTATTTTTAGTAACCATGGCAACACCGTTCATCGAAATCAAAAATCGATAAACAAAATTATGTATCTTAGTGTAGTCTACTTGTGTGCCAAGCTATATTGAAATCATACCAAAACTGTAGGAGGAGTAGCATTTTAAAATTTCACAGAAATTTCTATTTTTAGTGACCATGGCAACACTGTTCATCGAAATCAAAAACTGATGCATAAATTTATGTATCATAGTGTAGTCTACTTGTGTGCCAAGTAATACTGAAATCAGACCAAAACTGTAGGAGGAGTAGCATTTTGAAAAATTGTTTACAGACAGACAGACAGCTAGACAGATGGACGGACGCCGGACGCATTACTATCGCATAAGCTCTTCTGGTCTCTGACCAGTAGAGCTAAAAATCAGTAGAGGTGTAATAATGTTTTTTTAACAAATGTTATATACTCAACAAATCAGACGGAAGACAGACATTGGGTGATCAAAAAAGCTCACTTGCGCTTTCAGTTCAGGTGAACTAAAAATATAAATTTTTAGACTGTTTGTCTCCTATCCTGTATTTCAAGTTTCATGTTAAAATAAACACATATATAAATAAAGATAAAGGTAATTATAGAACACATGTCAATAAAATACCAATACACTTTGTCCTATTGAAGATTTAATACAAATTATCACTTACAGATTTGTTTTTCTCATTTTATTATGCACCTTCTTACAATGCATAGATTCCTTTAATTCCAATAACACAGTACTTGGACCTCTTTTTTTCAAGACGGTAAACCACAGAGATGAGTCATAAGAAGTACATTATAACTTGTGTGCCTGTCAATGTTTACACATAATAAAGTCATTCTTTTTATAACCATCAGCATGAAATGCTTACTGTGGAAAGTGAACTTTAAACAGGAAATCTACAGTGAAACATTTTTGTCAATTGAATGTTATGTGTCAACATGAAGCTCATGGGCCAAAACCCTCACCTGAGTCACCTAGTGCAGTGGTGAATATATATAAGGCATGCAGAGCCTATGGCTTTAGATATATTAAAATTATATTCAATATGTGAATCTAGCATTAATTACAGCTTTATTATTTCTCATTATTTAGAAAATCATTATATAATTGAGATTTAATTTTTGATCTTTATGTTTTTTACACTAGCCTAGAGGAATTTTAAATCTTGATGAAACTGAGATAATTTTTCTACGTGTTTCTCCATTATCTGCAAGGTCTTGAACTCTGGAGCTGTGGAACACACAGATCTAAAGTCTTTGCTATTTCTCTTTGGTTGGGGATACAAATGTCCAAATTACAGAGAATTATGTATTTACTTGAGCAGGAGACTTGCTCCAAAATCTGTCGTCTATCCATAAAGCTAGGGTGTTTTGTACCGGGGTACTAAAAAATATCCCTTTTTACCCCCTTTTGACTGCCTGGGTGAAAATAAAAATTATGAAAGCTTATTGCACATCTTCAGCACACCATCAATTATCTTTTAAAAGATGAATAAGCTACTGCATAAAATGTAAGAGTCATTTTGGGAATCATGTTTTTGTAAAAATAAAAAAAAAATAAAAAATTATTCTTCTTGGCCCTTGTTGCCCAAAGGATAGTATTCAAAATTCAATAACTTTATTACACATTTATAGGACACCCTCTATCATATTCCAAAGGATTAATTAGATACTGCTAAAAAAACAGGAATTTGATCTTAAAAAGGAAATTCATGATTTGTTTGAAGAAAAAAAATTGATAGATAAGAGAAAACGCATTTAAATTTAAAATGTTCATATGTTATGAAACATCCTGAAAGTAGTACATTATTAAAAGATAATTATATTCTGTGTGAAGACAGAAACGTCGTACACATAATATTTCAACTGAGCAGTTGACCAGACATTATCAACGTTTACAACAAGGTATTGATTCGGTATTGAACAATTGTATTTGGAGTGTTTCGGGACATACAGTCATGTACTTGTATACGTAATGCAACCTCAGCATTCAATAAACACCACAATTTTGAACACTAAAAATTCCCTAGACTTTCAGCATTTAATAGTCCCCTACTGGTAACTTGCAGGAGACTATAGGTTTCCTCTCTGTCTGTCCATCCGTCTGTCTCTTTGTTCCTCTGTCCCACTTGGGTTTCCATACTTTTTCCCTAAATGCCTGCTGATACATGTATTGAGCTAATTTTTGTGTATGAGTGCATCTTGATTAGTTACAGATCTTGATAAGTTAAATTACAGTTAAAGTTTGCATTTCGTTCCACTTCACTGATTTTTTTGATGGAATTTCAATTTTTAAGGGTTTTCTGCATTTTTTTCTAATTTAAATGTGTGGAGATATTGAGCTGATTGTTGGTAAATTTCTTCACCTTGATGAGTTATAGATCAAATTTACATTTGATTACACTTTAATGGTTGTTGGTGGAAATACTGCATTTTTAATTTTTAAGGGCACCATTTTACACTTGCACTCTCAGAATGCCTGTTTATTAATAGCTTTAAAATACATGTAAGTATTGATACTGTATCAAAACAATTTGATTCAACACTACATTAAAGCTGAACACTTCTTATAAATAGGCACTGTCAGATGGGTATATAAACCGTTCGCTTTTGTTACACCCAATTTCACACTCGAAACTCGTGGCCGACATGTAGTACTCCTTTCGTGGTCTTAGATTTTTTTACATTTATTTCTTGTTTTTATGTGCATTTTCTGTTTGTAAATAATGTATTGACCTGTATCTTCGATGATACTTTTGTCCTGTTTTGGAATAAATGTGTAAAATTTGATAATTTCATCGAGATTGAGTAACACGTTTTGTAAGATGTACGTCTACACTCATCGGATCTCTACAGTGAAATACGTTGAACTGATTAGCGATCTGATCCTTATATATGAGTTGTAGGGAGAGCGTTGAAGAACGGGAAATATGGCGGACTATGCCTATTTACGAGTAGTGTTCAGCTTTAAAACTCTCACAGCTCTAGAATAGGCATTTTTCAGTGGCCAATACAGAAATTAAATTTCCTGCACGTCAAATAATTATACTGTACATGTATATGCGTACTTAAAATGCAGGCTTCATAATTTAACGGCTTTGGTGTGGACAACAATGCGCTAATTCTTGAAAACCACCAAGAATTTATTTTAATATTAATAGATACATATGCTGCATGGACATGTGTAGCACTATTTAATGATTATGGCAACAACTCCATACCCAGTGGTTGCATTTAAATTTTTAATATGTACATTTATGTTCATGAGCAGTAGTTAAACAATTTAATTTTTTTTAATCAAACAATATTTGATATGCCCTACTTTAAGGGAAACTCTACCAATTTGCCCTAAAAAAGAGCAAAAACACATTTTTTGTGAAAAGCATATGTATAACTCAATATTTATATACTGAATCCCTATGTTAGTCTCCCAAACAAACTTTGTGACTTTCATCGGCTAGTTCCTAGGAAAATCACAGATGTTAATCATCATTGTCATTGATTATTGAATAATTTGAGTATACACATGCATAAACTACGATTTATATATCTAAGAAACCTTACCGAAAACAGTTTGAATGCCAATCACCTCCAAGAGTCTGAATGAAAGTGTCCTCCTTCACAAGACTCCGGCATCTGACACAGAATCCAATGTCTTCTTAAAAAAAAAAAATTCAGTCAGATACTAATTTTGCTTAAAAAACGTACAAAATATCACAATAATATTAATGTCAATATTGCTGGTTAAAATTTTTAAAAATTGTTTGTTATAATACTAGTGCAACTATATTTGTCTTCTTTATTAGCTCATTCCAGTTTTTTTCTATCTGTAAGTGTCCACTGATTTTAAGGTTATGAAATTAAAAGCAAACACACTAAAAAAATTAGTAAACTATAACTTTTAACACCTCGTACAATAATTCGTAACAAATGGAAGATTTAAATCTGTGGATATAATTTCTTTTAAAGTTTGATACCCAATGTTTTAATTTTTGACAAAACTAGTAATTTTTGTTACAATGTGAGGAAAATTCTCAAACATGACGAGCAATACCTGGTATATTCTACAACTATTCTTATCTGTTGTGTCCTTTTGATTTCTTTTTGTGAACAGGTAGAAAAATAGCTAGGCTTTTGATTTACAGGCAGGTGCAAAATTAACATATTAGGGAAAAAGCTAACAGAATGGCCTTATTACAGAAGGGCATATATTCCAGGAAAGATCTGTATTTTTAAAACATATTTAATATTATCTGAAAATACAATCGAGAGCCTGAGGTTAAGCATTTGACTGTGTACATCTACTTGTATGTGTAAACCTAGAAGCGATTTTACACGTACCCAGGTATGCGTAACTATCATTGTGTTCTGTTAACCACACAGCACTTGTACTAGTACGTGCAATCTAATGAAAATTAGATGTTAGATCCGCTCACATACTTGCTACATTAACATCTAACAACATCCCATTGAGGGTCACGTCAGAGGTCAAATTCTATCAACCAATCAAATCGTTGCCTGCAAAATCATTGTATATTGTTGAAGCGAATAAGTCTAGAGCTGTTCCGAATTTGACCTCTGACATGACCCTCTATGCAATATTGTTTGATGTTAGTGTAGCAAGTATGCGAGCAGATCTAACATCTAATTTTAATTAGATTGCAGTATGTGTAAAATGCCATTTCAGCAAGGCACTTTACAATCCATTTGTATCAAATAAATCTATGACTTGAAATAAAAAAGATACATTGAATGTACTGTAAAATCACATAATTATTTTCATGGGGTCAAATTTTCGTGGTTTGAGTAAAAACTCTTGGTTCATGGGGATTTGAATACGTGGATGAAGAATTGTTGAGTAGTTATGTATTTAATATTTTACATTTCATGGTTGACATGAATTCATGGGTCGATCTCTTCATACCTCGAAAACGACAAAAATTAAACCTTCACAGTATGCTATAAATTCTCAACTTCATACTAAACACCGGCTGAAAAATATATATTTTGTAGTTTGGGTTTAAGAAGCTACAAGTTCTCACCTAGGTCACTACTTGCGACTGTACAAGTTACAACTAGAATTACTCAGCATGCAAAACTGATGACGTAAATCCCATTAAATTAGGGGATTTCTAGTATCTTAATATGAGCTATAGTTTTTATTCTCTAAACCTAGCTATACAAATATATATCATGTACAAAAAAGTGCCAGTAACTTAGGTCCTGATAATGTGTCTATCAGTCATGGGCGTCAAGCAAACTGAAAGGGGGGGGGCTAATCGAAAGTGGGGGGGGCTAAACCAACAAAAACAGGTAAATCCCAATTTTCAATGCCTAAATAATGTCTATTTTTGCAAAAAAAGGGGGGCTAAGCCCCCTCCCCCCGGCACCGACGCCTATGACAGTCAAATGTGTTTGTAATATTGATAATAAAAAGCTTACCTAGTAGCTAGCAGAACTGGATAAGACGCCCCCTCTCTATAGGCCTGATAGTGTTAGAAGTCCCCCACCCCACCCCTGGCCAGAACAGCACTGTTTATAAATAATCTATCAATTCAGCAAAATGGACCGATAATTCAGAAATCTATTTTTGTGTTTTAATTATACCTTCATTGCTAGCTTATCTTACTTAGAAACTGTTTCAAAAGATAAGCTTGTACCTGTACTATGACAGTCTGAATCTGTCATTTCACGAAGTTCCTCGACATCTACAGTATATTTACCTCCACCAGTTGAAGATGCATGACAGAGCGGTGTGTCTATTTGCACAAAGGGATCCTAAAAGACCCGATTACCCCTTAAAATCAAAAATACATAAATATTTTTAACATTCATAAAATACGAAAGTTTTATTTTAAAAATATAATTTATTCATAATAAATGAATTTGGATCGAACAGCAGGCATAAACTGATAAATGCATATAACCATGATAACAAATAATGCTTAAAAGATTTCTGATGAATGAAACTTGAGAGACTATATTCGTGCTTAGAATACAGATAGATTTCTGGTTGTTTTTTAAAAAAAGATTCTCTCTAAAGAAAACAGTATACTAGTATTTTGAAAGATGATTTACTAGTTTGTTGAATTTTAATTATTCATATGTCTCTGATTTTACATCCTTTAATTGTTTGACTTTATATTTTTTGTCCCCCTCTCTCGCGAAAGCGAGGGGGCATTAAATCTCATTCGTCTGTCCGTCTGTCAGTCAGTCTGTCCGTCCGTCACAAAAAATTTACACATGTGTAATCCTTGTGAGAAGACCTTTCTTTGGGTACCACCACATTTAACCTTTTGACTTTGACCTTGACCTTTGGGTTTGACCCACTTTTTCACCAACATTCCAAACTTTTACTTCGGCCATGACTTTTAAATGGTAGATACTATCACATATGTATTTTTTGTGGCAAGACCTTTCATTGCATACCCTCAACTTTGACCTTGGAGATTTCCGCACTTACAAAAAAACTTTAACCTTGGCCATAATTTTTGAACGGGCAAGGGCTTTCATACTTCATATATGTAATACTTGTGACAAGACCTTTCTTCAGAAACAATATATTTAATTTGCATTTAAGAAAAGTTGAATCTTCGCTATTTTGCCATAGAGGATTATCAGGTTCACTTCCTTATAAGTTTTGATTGAGAAGAGATAGGGCTTTCATATCCGACATGTGCGTTACATGTACCTATATATGACAAAATTTGACACAATATGTCATTAAAAATGACATCCCACCCACAAAGAAAGCGGGGGACCACAATTCTTTGAATTTGCTTGTTTCAACTATCGCCGGTCTGTTTCTTAATATGTGTTTCAGGCAAGGCATAAAATTACAGTTTTGTTGCTAAAATGCAAAAGGTATGCGGTTTCATTGGCCACATGTTATTTGTCCATAAATATTTATGACCATTTTAAGTTCTGTTTTTGACTTAAGATTTAAATCCCCCCCCCCCCCCCCATCCCCCTGGAAAAATTCTGGAATCTCGCTTGTCCGTTTTTCTGGTCAAGTGGTTGTTGAGGAGATGATTTTAAAAAAAATCAAATACTCCCCTATAAATGCCCTAAAAAATATTTTTGTAATTTTTAAAACAAATTAAAATTACACTATACCTGAGATAGCTTTCCTACAAGTTTCAGCTTGATCCAGTATAGTTCTCCAGAAAAAACAAGATGTGTTTGTGAAACACTGATGCCCCCGTATGGCAACATAGCGAAGGTTAAGCTTTCTTAATTACTAAGTAAATGCAGATCAAATATGTTGGTACCAAAAGTAAGGCCTTTTCACAAGAAATACAAATGCGAAATATAAAACGCTGGCTACATCTGTTTAAGGGTTATGACCAAGGTTAACATTTTATAAGAAAGGACAAACTCTGAGTCTAGGTCAAAGGGTCAAGGTTGTTTGTTTCTAAAGAAAGCCTTGTCTCAAAGATTGCATTTGGGAAGTATGAAAGCGCTGGCCCTTACAGTTCAGAAGTTATGGCCAAGGTTAAAGTTTGTAATAAGTAAGTCAAACTCTAAGGTCAAGGTCAAAGGGTCAGGATTCTTGATATCAAATGAAAGGTCTTGTCACAAGGATTACACATGTGAAATATGAAAGCTCTAGCCCCTACTGTTCAAAAGTTATGGCCAAGTTAAAGTTTGTAAAAAGTAGGTCAATCTCCAAGGTCAAGGTCAAAGGGTCAAGGTTCCTGATATCAAATGAAAGGTCTTGTCACAAGGATTAAATTTGTGAAGAATGAATGCCCTAATCATTTCCCTTCAAAAATATGGTCAAGGTTGTATTTTTAAAGTAGGTCAAACTCCAAGGTCAAAGGGTCAAGGTTCTTGGTATCCAATGAAAGGTCTTTTCACAAGGATTATATATGTGAAGTATGAAAGCCCTAGCACTTATTGTTTAAAAGTTATAGCCAAGGGTAATTTTTTTCATTCGTAGGTGCAAGGTTAAAGTTTTTGCGGACAAACAGACAGACAGAGACAAGCAGACAGAGAGAGAGATAGACAGACAGACAGACAGAGAGACAGCTAGACAGACGGACGGACACGACAAAAACTATATACCCTCGAAACTTCGTTTACGGGGGCATAAAAAATGATCCCACCCTACTTTAGTCTTCTTTTCTTTGAGATCTCCCCTTGTAAGGGGTTCGGGTGTTCACTTTAACCCAAGGATGTTTTGCATTAAATTTGGTTTTAAATGACCTATAGTTCAGGAGAAGAAGTTGAAAATGTGAAATACAGACGAACGACACACAACAGAGGTGATCAGAAAAGCTCACTTGAGATTTCAGTTCAAGTTAGTTAAAACTTTTTTACCTATTTTCACATCTCTTCCTTGGATTCTTCCCTGTTTCATTTGGCAGCATTTAAACCAATAATTACTTTTCACTGGATTTATGCCTTTATTTAAATATTTATATATAATTATATATTTGAACATTTTATTTAAACGTATACAGTCTTAATTTACAATTTTACATGTAATTGTTGATTTCCCAAATATATTTATCGTGCATTTATGACATCCTTCGAACTGAAGTCATCGTCACTTGTCTACATTGTTGTCTTTTCACAACTGAAGTTCAAATATAAAGGCATTACAAAAGATTCAACTTTGCGGTTACGAAACGTCTGTGTGTGTGTGTGTGGGGGGGGGGGAGTCTAGCTATCAGTGAACCTTCTTATCATTGAAATATATCTGCGGGGAAAATTTGGGAAATTGACTCCCCCCCTTTTTAAATACTAAGTGCTTGATTTGTTGCGAAAAATTATTTCTGCGCCCAATAAGCTTTCGTACTATACTCTACTGTTATTCCGTGTAAAATTTTATTCCGTATATATATTGTCTTACATCTTATCCCTTTAGGGCCAGGGATTGGACAAATTAACTAATAAACGCCATGCCATAGGCGTTGGAACCGGGGGGGGGGGGGGGGGACACATTTCCCTTTTTATGCCCTCGTAGGGGAGCTATGACTTTCATATTTCACATGTGTATTCCTTGTGACAAGACCTTTCTTTGGGTACCACCAGATTTGACCTGGATCTTGGAGTTTGACCCACTTTTACACAAAAATTCCCGACTTTTTCTTTGGTCAATCTTTTGAACAGTAGAAACCAGGACTTTTATATTTCATATAAGTTTTCTCTGTGTTAAGACCTTTCACTGAATACCAACAACTTTGACCTTTTGACCCTGACGATTTCTGTATTTATGAAAAAACTTTAACCTTGGCCATAATTTTTGAACGGTAAGGAGATTTCATACTTCACAAATGTAATCCTTGTGAGAAAACGCTTCGTTGGATACCAAGAACTTTGACCCTTTGACCTTGGAGTTTGACATACTTTTAAAATGCACCCTTGGCATAATTTTTGAAGGGTTAGGTCTAAGGCTTTCATACATTTAATCCTTGTGACAAGACCTTTCCTTTATTATCAAGAACCTTGACTCTTTGACCTTGGAGTTTGACCCATTTTACACAAATAGTCCACTTTTACTTTGTCCATAATTTTTAAACGGTAGATATGTAGTAGTGTAAGATACATGGCATCCTAGCTACTAGCTTGGGCTAGTGGGTTAGCACTGGACTGGCAAGCCAGAGGCCCCAGGTTCAATCCCGAGCAGAGGCAATAAATTGTCTGTTACATTTGTCACCCACGTTGGGACTCGGGTGTTCTCTGGCGGGTAAAATGATTGCCCCAACAATTTTGCCCCACAGGAGTCGGCACTCAAAAAGAGATGAGGACATCTCATTCTCTGGAGGGAGACAATGTAGTAGTGTAAGATACATGGCATCCTACTAGCTTTGGCTAGTGGATTAACCCTTTAGCTCAAATGGTAGAGCTAGAGGCCCCGTGTTCAATCCCCACCAGAGGCAATAGTCTCTGTTACAGATACTAGGAATTTCAAATGTCAACTCTTTGTGGCAAGGTCTTTCATCTGAAATCAACAATTCTGACCTTTTGACCTTGAAGATTTCCGTACTTACGAAAAAAACTTGAACTTTGGCCATAATTTTTGAACGGTAAGGGCTAAGGCTTTCATACTTCACATATTTAATCCTTGTGAAAAGACTTTCCATTGGATATAGACTTTGACCTTTTGACCTTGGAGTTTGACCTACCTCTGCCATAATTTTTGAACGGTAAGGGCCAGGGCTTTCGTACTCCCCATATGTAATCTTTGAGACAAGGCCTATTTTTAGAAACCAACAACCTTGACCCTTTGATCTTGACCATGAAGTTTGTCCTACCTTTAAAAACCTTAACCTTGGTCATAACCTTTGAAAAGGTGGTGCTAGAGTTTTATATTTCACATTTGCATTTCTTGTGAAAAAACCTTACTTTAGGTATCAACATATTTGATCTGCATTTGAGAAACCTTAACCTTTGCTTGTGAGGCCTGTGATCCACTGAATATTATTTCTTCTTGCATTGGTGTCGGAAGCAAATTGAAAAGGGGGGGGGGGGGGCAAAAGAGGTCTTGTCACTAGTAATAAACATGTATAATGTGAAAGCCATACCTTTTCTGTCATAATCATAATTTTTAAAAAGTATGTCACACTTCAATTCAGAAATCGAAGTATATTTGGATAGTTCTTTGTCACAGGTTTTAAATTTATGTGTGAAATATAAAAACCTTATAACTTCTCATTCAAAAGTTATGACCAAGGTTAGTTTTTGCGACAGACTGACAGAGGAATATTTTCTGACCCTTCACTTTTGCGCAAGTCAGACTCAGTAGTTGAAGTAAGCAACATCAACCAGAGACAGCATTTCATATTAAAATAATTGTCTTGCCGTTCTCAATTTTTGTTGTTGGTATATTCCTCTTCCACCCATATTATGTTCCCTTTTCTTCACCTGTGACGATAAAACTATTCTGAATCATCTAACAATGCCAAAACAGTACAATGCTCTACATCACTTTAGGGAATTTCTTTATTCCAATTTTTCTAGAGCACTGTTTTATAAGAATGGCCCATCAGAAATACATAAATTATGGCTAGGAAGGTAACAAGGGGCCATGGGCAACAACACTCGCCAGTTACCTTTGCTATGCTGTCCTTCACAAGATTTCCCCCTTGCAATACCTAATCTTGTCCCCCAAGTGTCATGATTTGAAAATTTAGAATTGATTCTACCCCTGAATGCTTCCATGTATTTACAGTATTCTGGTCCAGTGGTATTAAGGTGATTTCTCCAATATACTAGTACTTCTATGTTAAACTTAAGATTCTTTATTGATGCCCCACCCTGCCCCCAAGGTAAATCATTTGAACAATTTAGGATCTACACTACCCCAGATGCTTCCAAATAAGTTTCAGTTTATGGTCCAGTGGTTCTTGAGATAAAGGTTTTTAAATAACCCCACCCTATTTGTGGCTTTTATTGATCATCTCTCCTTGTAAGGGGGCTTGGTCCTTCATTTTTTTAACTTCCCTAAACCCTAGTTGTTTTGAACCAAATTGGTTAAAATCAGCCCATTGGTTCTTTAATTAAAAGAAGTTGAAAATGGGAAAAATTTACGGACAGACCAGGGGGCAGACAACATGTGATCAGAAAAGCTCACTTTAACTTTCAGCTCCAGCTATGTTCAATAAAACTATAAGACACTTATGTTGTAAGAATATTTATTGAATTAGCTGAAATAAAAGCTGCAATACAGTTTTAAAAATATAGCTATGTTCAGGCCAACTTGAAAGAAATTGCTTGGTTGCCCTCTCTTGACCGACTGAGTAAAAATTACCCAACTCAAATTTTTTTTTACATTCAAGGACACAATATTTTTTTCTCTTTTTATTCATCTTATCCTGTCAACAAACATGTTGAAATTTTTTTTACCTACCAACACAATAAATCTACCTTGAATCAGGATAGGGCAAGCAACTATTATTTGAAAGATGGCCTCATCAAAGCTTTTTGTTTAGAAATTCTTTTAAGTGCTTTCATTAATACATAATTTTGGTTTTCGTCACTGAAAAAAGAAATAATACTTCATCTTCAAGAAATTATGAATTCAGGGTAATCCTTTTTTATGCAAAAAAATAAACCTCATACACCCACTTTACCTTTTTTTACCAGACATTCTTCCCCACTTACCAAAAGCCTATCCAATGCTTACTCCAAAAAGAATCCTCCTTAGAACTTCCAGAACAAGTTGCAAGATCCTATGAGAAGCAAGATCCGACTCAATATCCTTGATTTTTTTTTTTATAGAAGGTTGCTTTCCCACAATAAAACTATGTCCTGTTCAACAGAAACCCATATGTAGACCATTTCAAAAATATCTGTTGAACTTTTTTTGGAGAAGAACCCATAACCACCCTTTATAGATCTGATATATCTTTGTATTTTGTCCCTGATATTTTTTTTATGAAAGAATATCCGTTTCCTTTCAAAATCCTACTCCATGGGGTTAATGTGATCCATCCATCCATTCCTCTCATGTTTCCAACTGGGCACCTAGTGTAAATCCCAGCACAAATCTATTCCTGAGTAGAGCAAATCCTTCCATAAATTAGAAGGTATCCAGTAACAAGTCTAAGTATGGCAGTGAACAAAATTGCTCAATTTTTCAGTCTATTAAAAAATTACTATAAAATAATGTACATGCGTACTTCTTTCTTCAGACAAGGCCTCAAAAACCACATTGCTCTCAAATCAACATTTCGTTTTTGACAAACCAATCTGTATATGTAAATATGCGGTCTCCAAATTATGCTCAATGTTTTGAGTACACATACTTGTAAACAAGTATACTGGGCTAAAAAAAGTAACTTTACGAATTGCAACTACTTTTTTTTATTCTTGTAAACTTCATACTTTGTTAAATATCATTCAAGTTATCCATCGAATTGCATATATCAATAGGCTTGTGAACACTGTTCTTATAAAAACTCTGTAGAAAGGGGAACTGTTTCTAAGGCTGCTCTAAACCTTTGACAAAGTTTTGGACCAACATCCATCGCAAAAAACTAATTTGATTCATAAATGCTGTCATCTTAGTTGAGGATTGATCTAAGGAACATAATTTACAATAAAATAAAGAAGTATTAATACAAGTTTTGACTTACCATGTCAGTGGTTTTTGAGATGACAATTAATAAATAAACCTATCAATTTAATAGATTTATTTTCAAATTATCTCCCCTTGAAAGAGGGCTTACCTCTTCATTTGAAAAAAAAAAGAAAAAACAAACTATGATCTGGAGAAGACTTTAAAAATGTGGAAAACAAATTTATAGATGACACATGATGCATACCAAGACCATACAGATGGATGGACATTAGACAATCTTTGATCAAAAATCTTTACTCGTGTGACCTAATAAAGAAAAGTAGAGCATTTTTCTTTACTGCCAGACTTTCCTTGGATTTTAAGCCTTAACCCTGAATTGCCTAATAGGATGGATTCCTTAATTCCAAAAATCTCCAGTTTGGGCATCGGGATCCATCCGCACCGATTCCATAATTTGAGAGGGAGAGATAAATCCTAAATCCAGATCCCTTGATCCCAAATGATCCAAGCTAGTTATCCCAAATATCCAAGCTTGTATCCTAATATCCAAACATGATTATCCAATTGATCAAAGCTTGTTATCCTAAATATCCAAGCTTTCCATCATATTGATCCAAACTTTCCAACAGAGCAAAAACCTTAAGAATAGAAATTTGAAAATATTATATTATGAATGATAAAAAAAGTGCACATTTTTAATGTTTTTCTCACATCATGAAATGAAGCGTATGTGTATACAAAATTGATTAAAATTAATAACAGGAAACGTATGATAGTGTAATAAAAAATGACCTGACACACAAATTGTTTCTGTACAATAAAACTGCAATATAAGACAATTGTCACATTATCCTTCTAATGTCTACACTACAGTCAATGCTTCATATGCACAGATCATAAATATGCATACCATTAACAGTCTTCAAAATGGATGTGATATAACTTCTTTCTGTCTCTGATACTTCATGATCTTGGAATCACTGCAAAGTTAACAATAAATCAAGTTCAAAGCCATGCAATATGATCAAAGACTAAAATAATTCTACCAAGAAATAAAAAGGACAGGCTTGGAAATGAAAAACAGACAACTCATTGGCTGAAAATCATATCCACCCACATATCCACATTCTTAATATTAAAAGTTAATAGTATTCAATTGTTCCTTAAAGAATGTTAATATGCAAAAGAATTAAAATTTTAGAAAACATGTTATTTCAAATTAGCAATACCTTGAGATTATGACTACGATCTAGATCTATTTCTGACAGGGGAATATCTGGGGGATGCCCTGGATCTCCTCGGGGGTGAAGCACTCCTGCTACGAGACCTTGACCTTCCTCCACCTCCTCTGTAATCTTCCTTCACTCGAATGTATGCCACTTCTCCCTTAAATGAATTTTACATCTGATGAAGATCTAGCTCTTCTGGTTTTGTTTTTTAATAAAAAAAAAGCTCCTGTCTCCTCGACTTAAAAATATCTTGTCTTACATTCACAGAATCCTGATGTTCTCTAAACACATGCTAACTTTTGTTTATTAACAAGAGGCAAATAAGCCTCAACAGTGACCTGGGTACATTGATTCATAGATTGTGACACCTTTAGGCCTAGATGTAAGAAGCCTATATATTCTGAAATTTCGGTCAATTGGATCAACATGATTTTGTTTAAACCTGTCTTACACATTTTAAATCAAATGTTTATCAAAAGAAATTCAAAACAAGTACCTCATGGGATCTAAACTTGGAATCATCTAGTTTGCGTACAGCATATTTCATGTCTTCTTTTCTGAGAAATTCCACCACTCCGGTTCCATCTTTGTAGACATCAGCATAACACACATCTCCTGCTTCCCTCATGTGATCTTTCAGATCTTGCCAACTACCAGAAGGAGGTAATCCTGAAAAAAAAAAAGTTCTTTTATTCTGTTGAAATATTTTGCATTAAATTGCATTCAAGAAAATATTACAATGTATTAAATTATACTCAGATATAACCCTTACTCTAAACAAGTGGTCTATAAAAATCTGATCTCATAAACTGGCCCACCCTTTATTAAGAAGCTATGGGTCTCTGTTTCTTTAGATATTTATAGGACACCAACTTATTGATGCTTTTTCTTGTCCATCTTGTTATGTTAGTGCCCTTTCTTTGTATTAATTTGATATTCTTTCACCCAATGACATTTTGTGGTAAGTTTGATTGAAATAGTTCATTGGACTCATTCTTAAAAAGGAGTTAAAATGTGCATGACAAATTGACAATGGAAAAAAACAAAAAACAAAAAACATAGGTAATCAAAGATTACTAAGCTCACCTCGATGAATGTTATCAGTTTAGGTAATGCAAATCTCACGTCATATCTTTTTAACAGTAAGTATTTATTTTGACAACAATATTCAAGCAAGTTCTGTTTAAATAGGCCTTAAAATTCATTGGGGATTGACCTGTTCCAAAATCCAAAATGTTGGTCAGATCCAGCATCCAAAGCAAGGTTTGATTATCCATCCTAAGATGCATCATCCATGCAAGTTTGGTCCTGGTAGGGCTTATAGTTACTTGGGAATGGACCTGCTCCAAAAACTTTAACCTGGTCACTCATCTGGAAAATATAGGTCAGATGCAGCATCCGAAGCAAGTCTGGTAGTGTCCATCCCTAGATGCATCATCCATGCAAGTTTGGTCCAGATAAGGCTTATAGTTAAATGGGAATGAACCTGCTCCAAAAACATTAACCCTTTGTGTGCTGACTTGTTTTATGCACGTTGTAACCTCAGGACTGAGTTGTTTTTTAATATCAACAAAATTATCACAATGGTGTACTGAAATGCAAATATCTAAAATTGTTGACAACCAATTTGCTTGAAATTTGGCAAATATATAGCAAATGTTGTGTTTTTTAATTTATAATAATTTTTTTTTAAAAAATCCAATGTTTTATGTTGCCTTCAGTGTTGTCGAAATCTGTCGGTCCTGTCGGCAAGGCCGGTAAAAATTTGTCTGGACCGATAACATTTAAGAAAATGCTGGTCTAGATGACCGTTTGAAAAATACTTAAGCGTAATGCAAATTTAATAAAGGTCGGGATCGGGATGCGTAATTAAAGGTCACAGACACAGAAAAAATGGCCGCATACGCGGCGTGTTGACAATAGCCAAGTAAATTTGTTGTCACAAAGTCATAAACCATGTCATTTATGTCTATGTTAAAGACTCTCTACCCCAAGAAAGGAAACTTGTTATATTGAAGGCTATTGAAAATAATAAAGGGCATTTTGGTGCTGTTATTCATATGACTTTCTCAACGTCAAAATAAGGTACAAGCATCTGGTCTGACAAAACTTTGACTGGTCCGACAAAACATTTGACTTTGTCAGACCAAATGTCTGACAGTGATGAAAAAATTTCGACAAGTCTGTGCCATGGAAACCAAATTTTCAAAAAATATATTTTAAAATGACTTTTTAGCTTTTTAACTATATTTTCAGAGAAAACATTGCACTTTGATGAAAAAAAATAAACCAATTGCTTTAAAAATTCAATTTTAGATTTAATATTATGTAAATGAAAAATTAATTTAAACAATAACTCATTGATTAAGTCAATGTTATACATACTTTTATGTTGTGAAAAGTCATTGTATAGTTATCTGAGTAAGGGATATATTCATATAGGTTTAAGTGAATTCTGATTTAAGTTAATGGTTTTTTTTTCTTCAGATTTTAGCTTACAAGAGTATAAATTGAAGATTCAATTAGCCTGTAAATATAAAACCAGTGATTATTTAAGAAAAATTGACAATCATATAAGAAAGTATGATCCTCAAAGAATATGCAGTTTTCGAGGTTGGGAAATCTTGGAGCAAATTGGCACAGCAATGAACTAATTGCTGTTGCTACATCAGTACATGTAGTATTCATTTTTAAATCAAAGCAGTCAATATGTTAAATAAATAAAATAAATAAATAAAATAACATTTACACTAAGTTATAGAGGTCTTATTTTCTAATGACTGGTATATAACAGTCCTAAATATATAGTACTCTAATAATTCTCAAATCTCTTTAATTTTTTTTTTATTTTGCTTTTATTGAAGAAAATGCATTTCTCCATGTTATTTGTAAAGTTAACATATCCATCAACTTTCCTCCCACAATACTTCTCACTCTGTAAGAAATGTGGCATTTATTTTAGAAGTTTTACTCCTAGCTGCAACAATAATTGCCAGCAGGAAAACTAGAATTTAAAATTTTAGAAATTTAAGCACCCTTAACAGTCATTTATAATGTTTTCAAAAATTACTTTGTTCAATGGTCACTGGTGAATAACAGTTTTAATTTTTTTCAATTGATTTTAGTTAATGATGGTTGACAGATATATAATGTACTGTAATATCAATCAATATATCATGAAATACTTTTAAGTATATGCAAGTGTAATGGTATGGGTCATAGATATAGGCCGAGTAAGCTCAGTCAGTAGAGCATCTGACCAGTGGTCCTTCTTCGATTCAAGGTCCAGCCATGCATTTTCTCCTTCCTTGTTACAGATTTGATGCTATTGACCCCTCTGGATTTGCAAGTGAAAGTCCTGTCAGGGGCTAATAAGAATTTGGGTTGTGTCTGCAAGGATAAAGATAAATTTAAGGAGGGATATGTAATGTTTGTGCTATGGGTATCAACCTTGGTAGCTCATTCGGTAGAGCACCTGACTAGTGAAGCAGGGTTCCTGGATTCAATTCCTGGTCCAACCACAAATTTTCTCCTTTCCTGTTTTTAATGTGCCTGAATTTTTACTTCAACATAAAATATTATTCCTAATGATGAAATATATTTTATTTTCACTTTGGGATTTCTTTGTACTCTTAGTAACTATTCACATTTTCATATTTAAAACTAAACATATCTTTGGAGGCCAAAATGTAATCTTTGTTGATTAGTAATTATATAGGAATTTGCATTTTTGAAAAATTTTCTTGACCATCATTTAAAAAAATTCTCATTGTAAATCTTATCTTTTTTACTGTATTCATTCAGGCAGATATATGATTATCTCTTACATCGAATACCGTATCATCCCTCTTAACTGCCCCTGCCCCTATAAGCGCCCCCTTAGGTCTTTTTCAATTGTCAGGAAATAAAGGCCCCCTGTACAGTTATTAAAATTATCTAGAATCGTATCAAAAGTCTGCCAAAATTTGAAAAAAGTGAAAATGAAAGTTGTTTATTATCCAATTTCTTAGTGAAAAATGATTCATTTAGCATAATTTGGTTGGATTATTTTTATTCAAAGTAAAGTTAGACATTATTTTAGAGATTCTTTGAATTTATTTTTTTTTTCAAAATAATTTTTGACGTTAAGATATGAAACTAAATATTTCAAAGAGAATACCAAAATAACCGCCCCCTTTTCGCAATTTTCTAAGCGCCTGGGGCGGTTAATAGGGATTGTACGGTACTGTAAACCAACTTTTATTCGCGACGACTTTATTTCGCGATTAACCTAGTGTAAACTTGTTCGCGACGATTAATTTTCGCGATCAAGCCTTTTTGGATCTGTTATTAATAGACACAGAGGCCTTAAGGACCGGTTCGCAGCGAGAAATATTCGCGATGACGAGGCTCTCGCGAACCTCGTGAAAATTTCTCGCACGCGAATAAAAGTTGGTTTACAGTATACCTATCTTACATATCTAGAAGGGATGGAATGTAGAAGCTTCTTGGGCCTTATAAACTTGTAAACTAGAGGACATATTACATATTAATAGGTAAACATATACAGTGTGTACTTTTGAGTTTGAGAAGTACAATTCCTATTACCCAGTCTTTTATATTGTAATTTAAAGAACAGATGTACAAGCAAGTCCATACAATTCACAAATTACTCATTCTAAAGACACTGATCTCCTTCTTATGCCTACAAAAATGACAATTCATCTTAATTTTAAACTGTAGAGTTACCATTTATTTAACCAGTGAATTTTATAATTTTGTGTGTGCATGTATAGGTTGGCAGTCTCACAGATTTGGTTTTAATAAAATAGAAATAAAAAGTGGTGAAATGTGCAATATAATCCACATGCTTTATTCTGGCAAAAGTCTATTTAAAAGAAAAAGAAAATGTCTCCCTGATACATGTTCTTAAACTTGGTTTAGAAAAAAAATTCAGATACATGTACTACTAGTACTGAGTACCAATTATTTTCACTTACTAATTAGGTTCCATGCAAACTACAGTATGTAAATGCCTTGAAGAAATCTAACTCTAAGATACCAAAGATCAGGGAACATATTTTGGTTTTGAAATTATTGAGAGTCCAATAATCCTCAGCAAGGAAATAAAAATGGTATTTTTATTACTTACTGAAATAAAACAAACACCACAGTTTACACAAATGACAGTCATTTCAGGGAAAATCAGCACTTCAAAATTTTTTCATCACTTTTTACCATTTTCATGTATATGCACATGATCAAATGCATCAATGCATCTTTTCTGATATATTAATGTTTTTTTTTTCTTCTTAGTACTATTTGGATTTTTTAAAGTAAACTTCAGTTTTAGTGTGGAGAACTAGCTTACATTTGAAGATACTATACTGAAAATATCAAGTTTATTTTTAATTTGTAATTGTGCTAAACATTTTACAATATATCATATACTGTTATAAAAAAAAATATTTGAAAGTTTTCCCAAATAGATGGATCATTAAGCAGCTTTAAACCAGAAATTTTAGGTATAATTAGGGCCACTTAATTGACTCCATGATTGCATTATATTTCGAATACATGTATTATGAATTAATTTTGCTTGATCACAAAAATATGTTGATGGATATTTATTCTCTATATATCTCTTTTGCACTTACTTATTAATGCAATAACCCATTGGAAAATTTTCT